TGCCATGCAACACCTGTTTTATTTTTTTAATTTTTATTTATTAATTTTTTTTTTTTTTTTTTTGTAATTTCTTTTGACCAAGTTGATTTGCTTACTGATTTGGCGTAGATGGTAATCGCTTCGCTTTTTGTTGGATTTCGGGTATATTAAGCTGCTTCTTGAAGAGTGCAGCTTCTTTGTTGATAGGGTGAATTTGGTGTTTTACTATTTGTAGGAGAAGGTCATTGGTTTTTGTGAGGTGAGGTTTCAATTCGATTGTTGCAGTTTTTAGAGTTAATTCAAGTTGGATTAGAAGTCGGAATTCTAATGATCTTGGTATCTGCAACCTATCAACATCTGATTTCGGGTCTCGCATCCTCATTTGGGTAAGCATTTTTCTGATCTTTTCGTCTAGTCTTTTAATGTCATTCAACTTCCATTTAATAATGTTGACGCTGTATTTTATTATGGGTATATTTGAGTTGTTGATAGCCTTCATATTATTGGCCCTATTTAGTTCGCTTTCTAGTATCAAATTCTTTTCAGGTTTTTTTTCCTCCATAATTGAATGTTGTATCCAGTCTCCTTCATTAATTCCTAAGTATTTGTATGTACCATCTTGGTCTAGTTCCTTAATCTTGTTGTTGATATCCATAGTTTTTTTTTTAGTTTATCGCCTTTGAAGGTGGATTTGGCACATTTGTCAATTCCGAATTCCATCCGAATGTCTTCGCTGAAGTTTTTGAGAATGGTGAGTAATTGTTGTCGTTATTATTTAAATTATTATTATTATTATTATTATTATTACACTTTAGAGAAGAGCGCGATTTCAGAACGAAAAAAGTGTTTGATAATGTTAAACAATATTTCAACTGAATGTCTGTCTTCAAGTTACATTTAAATAACTTTTTCAGTTAGTGCTCACTGAGACGAAGTACACACTGCCCATTTCGGGGATTGAAACCACAATCACCAAATTCAGAAATCAACACTTTAATCCAACAGACTATTGTACGTAGGACAATTCTTTGTGGTAAACTTGGAGACTTCAACCTAACCTTCTGCTGATTATTGCTGCTGCTGCTGATTGTTATGTTTGACTGCTGTCACTGAAGCTTTTTCTCTTTTTTAACAGGTTTTGATGAATACTGTCTCTCATTTATCTTTCTTTATTAGCAGCTCCCTTATCGTATTTATTTCTATGCTAGTCCGAATAAGGAGGTCATCATAGCCTATATATATATATATATATATATATATATATATATATATATATATATATATATATATATATATATATACTACACTTCAAAGGTTTGAGGCCACCCCTGGTAATATTTTAAATCGACCAAAGTAGTTGTTTTGTAATTTAAATAAGAGAAAATTATTATAAATGATTACAAAAAAGTGAGATGTTTTTTTATTAGAAATTTTATTAAGACAAAAAGCATTTTATGATAAAATTTTGCTCTAGTCAAAATCTCCTCCTTTAGTCTTCATTACTTCAACACAAATTTTGCCATTCGTTCCAAAATGTTCTCAAAGTATGAGTTTGATAACTGTTTCATTTTTTTCCACTGTCTCTAATAGTTTTTTTTTTTTTTCTCTCAAGTTTATCCCATGCTATTTCTGGGGATTCCACAAGTTTTTAAGTAGTATATATATATATATATATATATATATATATATATATATATATATATATATATATATATATATATATATATATGTGTGTGTGTGTGTGTGTCTGTGTCTGTGTATGTATGTATGTGTGTGTGTGTGTATGTATGTATGTATGTGTGTGTATGCATGTATGTATGTATGTGTTTGTGTGTTAGGTTGGACGAAAAGTAGCTAGACATTTAAGTAAATTTCAAAAACGATATTTCGTTATTTGTACATAAATCTATGTATCAACCACTCACTTGCTATTTCGTTCTGCTATCGTTCGATATCTTCGTGATACTATTCTCCAAGAACTAGTCATTTGTCTGTTGAGGAATCCATCTAAGTGGTTTTACAGGAATTCCAAACTATTGAAAATCTTCCCCTTCATAGATGTTTTTAGAGAGTAGGAAATAAATGGATATCGGAAGGTGCAAGTTCAGGTGAGTACAGCATAGTAATTAAGCCGTCAAAGATTAGCAGAATCAATTTCTGTATGAAATCAAAGACATCAGAATCTTTTCCTCTGCGGAATACAACGCCCTTCTGATTGCTCTCCGTTTAATCAAATGCTGCTTTTAATTGGTACATTTTCGATCAGTACATTGTTTACTTTCAACGTCTATAATAAGCAATGCCCTTTCATTTCCAACACATACACAATATCATCTTCTTCAGATAGAATGAGGCTTTTGAATTGGTTAGTTGTGGTTCATATTGTTTTCCTCGGAGAATTTTCGTTCCATATTGTTACATTTTTTTTTTAAATCCATTTTTTATCACATTTGTTCGTTCTATTCAGAAATGAATTGTTTTATTGCCTTTGAGTGGGTAATTGCTGTTGGAATGGAAATTTATTAATTTTTCGCGTTCAATTGCGAGACACCAAAACAGCGTCGCGATCAAGTGTATTCAAACGCTTTACAACGCTCATATAACATGCAGAGTATCTGTTACGACGTTTTGTGTCGTATGACTTAGATTATTTATAATTATTTGATCATCAACTACGGCTGGTTTGCAGGAATTTTCTCTTTTTTCCAGAAAATAATTCAAATTCTGAACTTATCGAATAGCTTACAGTACTTACAGCTATGGCAACATGTTCATAATTTTCCAGAAAATAATTCCAATAGCGAATATCTTACAACTATAAAACAATTTTCTTAAAAGGCATGTAACCTTTTTTTTTTACAGCTCAGTTACTTTTTTCTCTTTCACAGAAATAAAATCAAATGAAAAAATGCACCTCGTTTTCCTCTATGTTCACTTTTAACATTAAAAAAAAACATTTGAAATTGTCAATCTATAAACATATCGTATCGAAAGATGTTGTGAAGCATTTCGAGATATATATATCTGTCATAAATGTCATTTACTTGTAGAAGGAGATGAAGTATTTGAAAATACAACACAAAAACAACGAACTTTTGCTTCAAACCAATATCTATCTATCTATCTATCTATCTATCTATCTATCTATCTATCTCAGTCTCTTTCTTTCTTTCTATCAATGTGTGAATGCGTGATATATATATATATATATATATATATATATATATATATTATATATATATAAATATATTATATATATATATATATATATATATATATATATATATATATATATATATATATATAAAGAGAGAAAAAAGTGTGTGTGTCTGTGTATGTACGTGAGTGCGCGCATGTATGTATGTGTGCGTGCTTGACATGTACTAAAGTTTGTGTTTTTTTATCATTATCACTCTTATTTTCTGGTTTCCAGATATACCTCCGGGTACTTAAGCCAGTACAGTACAATGTGCGTATTGTTTGAAGCATCTCGGAATATTCCATGCGTATGCTGTCGTTGGCGACAATTGATAGTTTACCGTTTGTCACTGTCTGCTCGACATCTCGCCCAATTAAGCGGCTTTCGCTTAAACAGGCATGACATTCGGCTGCCAGAGAACATGAAATAGCTCTTAGTCCCACACAGCCGTGAATTTTTACTGGTTTGAATAAATGAAAACTGCCAAGATTGAAATAGGGACAAATCTTCTCACTACATCCCCTCGCTAAGAAAGACAGACATAAAAATAAAAATGTACGTAATTTGTCGATGAAATCAAAGTCTCAAAATCATTTGCTTTTTTTCAATGAACTTTCTTCTTGTATATATCTCATTGTCACATTATACATACATACATACATACATACATATACATATATATGTGTGTGAGAGCGCATGCGTGTGTGTGTCGCACTCTCAATATCTATCTATCTATCTATCTATCTATCTATATATATATATATATATATATATATATATATATATATATATATATATATATATATATATATATATATATATATATATATATATTTTTTATGAAAAACTAGGTAATCCGTATGGGTAAACCAAAGTAGGATAAAATCCAGAGAGCTCAATGTAAATCCAGAGCAAATAATTTAAATAAAAACAGACCACTTTAAGTTTCCATGTAATAAATTATTTCCCCACAGCCATTTTAAAGGACTGCGGATCATCAGACTTTACTTCCAAACAAAAAATGAAAAGCAGCTAGCGAAAATGAAAATACAACTAGCGATGCGTAAACATTTCTAAATTCCAAAGTTTTGAAGCGTTTGGCCTTGTAATTTGTTTATAGTTCTCAGAACGAATTGGAAACTGGATTCTTATATAAAAAATAAACTGAATGAAAAGATATGAAAAAAAAACGATATTGCATTTTTATTTAATACGTATTTGTAATTCTAATGAATGAATTGTTTTTAAAATAATTTTTGTTTTTAAATAATAAAACTTTTAATTTTTCGAATAAATTAATGAAAATATATTGTACTTATCTACACAACCTAGTTTGCACTTCTTCCCTAAATTTGGTTTCGATCTGTCTGACTGTTTGGCCCTTTCAGAGGATGCCAAGGACGTACTAACGGAAGACACAGAATTTTATAGATAGATAGATAGATGATGGCTGTCGACTCGGTAAACGAATATGATCATCGCTGACAAGTTTGATCAATGTTCTTAGTTCTTGTCAATAGCTCTTGAAGGCAGCAAGTGACTTACAATGGCAATTGCAGACGTAGTAAATTGTTTTGTTCAGAGCCTTGCTCATTTTGTAAAGTCTGTTCAGCTTGCTTGTGAGTTTTCATGTGATGAGTGGGACCTGACAGGTTTCTGCAGGTTTTTTGACACGTATGTCATGTTAAGTTATTAGCAGCGTAGTACAGATTGTAATTTGCCAAGCATATGTACTGAGATAAATGAGAAAATATTTAAATAGATGGATAGACAAAGAATGAGATCGACATATACATACATTAATAAAAGTACGTGGCTTACACCTATATCAAGTTGAAACACCGGTTCCCGTCCGATCACAGAAATTAAGCCATAACGAGCCTGGTCAGTGTCTAGATGGGTTAACACTTGGGAATATCAGGGGCTACAAGCTTGAATGTGCATGTGGTTTAACTGATAATGGCTTGGAAATCAGAGAGCCGAGTTCGAATCTCAATTAGGTTCGTTACGCGCGGTTACAGCTCTTTCTTCCGTCTATGGATCAAATAGAAATTTTACCTGAAAATTTTTATTATCTACAAAAGAATTGTTAATGTAATATTCAGTTGCAAAACAAAATTATTTTTCTTCCAACGCAAAAAGATATTTCAGTTTAAAGTATATTTTAATATTACTTTTTAAAATACGTTCCCATTTTATAATAACTAACAAATAATCGTAAGAATCAAATCAATCAACCAAATCATTATAAAAGTTCGTATATATATACGTGCAAATATATATATATATATATGTGTGTGTGTGTGTGTGTGTGTATGTGTGTGTGTGTGAGTGTGTGTGCGTGTGTGTGTATGTATGTGTGTGTGTGCCTGTATTTGTGGGAGTGTAAGAGTGTAAAAACTGACAAATCCTAACTCGTCTATATAAATTAAGAGAAAAGATAAATCAACAAACCTGTCGTGCCTATGCGGCGATTCTGCTGAGCTAATATTTCGAATAAGATAGCTTGACTACTCTGAAAATTATCATTGGAAAATTTATATATATATATATATATATATATATATATATATGAAGAAGTCCTAACTGTACATCGGTCGAAACGTTGTGATAAATATAATAGTTTGAATGATGTAAATAGTGTAGTGTATATATATATATATATATATATATATATATATATATAAAAGAAAGAAAACTCTTTCAGCCATCAATCAAGAATAAAATATAGTATGCTGACGTTGATCAGATCTATAACGAAAACGAATATTCGATACGTGACAAGTATTACAGATGTAATTGGTATATTTCCTTAATTTCTTAGTGTGCTTAATTCATAAACTAAGTTTTATTATAGGAAAAATGCAGGATTTGCTATGAATTCTCCGTGAATAAATCACACACACACACACACACACACATATATATATATATATATATATATATATATATATATATATATATATGATAATTGTCTGTTCTTTACAGAAGAAGGACATCTCTTCAACGTTGAACTGGCCGAGCATGGTCCTGCAGATTGCTATACAAACCATTCTCTATCATGCATGCCTTTTTACTCACGTGACACTTTCGTAGCATCTTGAAAGTGACATTCTCCTAGTGAACTCTCATGTGTCGCTTCACCCCAGCATCAGACCTACAACATATTTTTAAAGCATGCATCGGGGAAAAGCTTTTTCCGCATCCATCTTATAATTCTATATTACGGAACCATTACTCAATATGCATTACTATATCTTTTTTACGAAAACACAAGCCTTGCAAACTGCAGATATCGCCAGAATGGTTGTCATGCTTCACAACTTGTATTTTGGTCAAGTATCTTGCGAAAGGATTAAGTCATTGTTGACCTGTTCACAAGACACCCATGGAAGAATATCACTATAGAAGCGATTTGAATCTTGAAGAAAATCTTTTCACCTCAAGCAAACAAGGAAACCTGTTGACAGGACAACATGGGATCAGAGTGCTTTGCAGAATGGATTATTTTTTGAGGAAATAAACCACAGGACAAATCTTGACTTGAAAAGACACGCACAGATTAGAAGTTTCCGTAAATATTTTTTAATGAAAATTGCTTTTTGCGAATACTAACCTAACACCACTGCTAGTTCTGTATTCACCTCATCAACGGATTTGAACTATAAAATCTTCCTTTGAGAGGACAAAACCAATAGTCTCACACACACACACTCCGACACATACACACACATATACACACGCACGTGCACACACACACACATATATATATTATGTGTATGCTGTCTGTGCATACGTGCGCGTGTACATTTAAGAAAAATGGCATTAGGAACAAAAAGATGGAAAGGTATCAGATTGAAGCCACAGCACAAGGGAAATAATCGACAAAAGAAAAGTAGCCAATAAAGTATAAAAATGCTTTATAAAAAGTTGCTATGAATGTAAGAAGAATGGGAGACAAGCAAAACACTTTTGTGTTGTTTTGATGTCTTTGGTGACGAGTCAATTTGCCTCTTGAATGTCACTGGCGTGGTTTGTTCTCTTACAGTCTTCCGCCACTTTCTACTCTTAACGCGGGAAAAAGACAAGAGAGAGAGAAGAAGAAGAAGATGGAGAATGAAGGAGAAAGAAATTGAATGTGAAGATAGCGGCAAAGGACATTTTCGGCGGCCATCACCGTTAAAATGTACTTTGTGATTTATTGATTGGCCAAAAGCAGAATGATTTTATCTTTATCTGTCTTTTTTGTTTGCTTTTTATTGTTTTTTTCTTATTGTTTATTTATTATTATTTTGGGGCTATTTGATTCATGTGTCCTTTCGACTTGAAAAATGAATGATTTTTTTTTCTAGTTTATTATTAGCTTTTCTATTATTATTTCTTTCTGTGTTGTCTTTGCGAAAAGCTGCAATAATGCTGTTTTTCACCCT